TAATAATAATAATAATAATAATATTAATAATAATAATAATAATAATAATAATAATAATAATAATAATAATAATAATAATAATAATAATAATAATAATAATAATAATAATAATAATAATAATAATAATAATAATAATAATAATAATAATAATAATAATAATAATAATAATAATAATAATAATAATAATAATAATAATAATAATAATAATAATAATAATAATAATAATAATAATAATAATAATAATAATAATAATAATAATAATAATAATAATAATAATAATAATAATAATAATAATAATAATAATAATAATAATAATAATAATAATAATAATAATAATAATAATAATAATAATAATAATAATAATAATAATAATAATAATAATAATAATAATAATGATAATAATAATAATAATAATGCATTAAACAGAGTGTCAGAGAATTGCGTTCCTAACTCTGCTACTTAATAAAACTGAAAACATGCGAACAATGTATTTGCCAGAAGTAAGACTCATACATGTAGTGTATCATGAGTGATGTGTATACTGTATACAGGTACATAAAGACTGGATTAGCAAGATATACTATTGCCATAACTTAGAAGGTATACTGTCCTGCAGTTGTGACAGCAATACTGCCTTAGTTTTCACTACATTACAAGGATACAGAGAGAGGTAAGAATTTTTATTATTTTGAAAAATTATTAAGGACATGTATACAGTGTGTTTCATGTAAGAAAAGGAGTCAATTCATTCGATTATTCGACTGATTATAATCTCATTGGTAAATAAATTATTATTGATAATTACAATATTATGTGCAATACATATCCAGCTACTGGTGGAATGGACCAAAGAATCAGATTATGGAATCCATACACAGTCACAAAACCATCATATGTATGTTAACAGACAAAAGCATACTTGTAATAATAATTATTATAAATGTATTATTAGGAAATGAGGGGGCACAATTCAACAATCATATTTATTGCTATCAATGATGAAACAGGACACCTTATTAGCTTTTCAAAAGATCTGGTCTGTCACAATGATTTAGTGATTTTTTTACATGTACATGTACACGTGCATTTCATAAAAACAGGAAGCTAGAGTTTGGGGTGTACATAATCAGCGATGCCTTCAAGTTTGCCATCAGTTTCAAGAATTTGATAACATACCCTCAGCTCTATACTACTACAGTCCCACGTCAACACTTATCGCTGGATATCTTGACGTAAGTACATGTACATGTACATGTATACACCCTATTATAATCTATGTACACTACAATTGATGTACAAAGGTTGGTATGTTGGAAGGATTTAGAGAGGACCTTAAGACAGTTGCAGTTGTTTCCCACGAGTATCCGCTCTGTGGTGCACTATACAACTCAATATTTAATCAAGTATGTATGCTCTACATTCCTATGAAAAATACTGATAATAATAATAATTCTTTATGTACAGGTAGTCAGTGGTTGTAATGGGTCAGTTGTGAGTGTATGGGACATTGAGACTGGGCAAAAAGCAATACAGTTCTCCCATTGTCATGGAGAAGTTGAAATCACAGCAATGTCCTTCGATGCTAGTGGACGAAGGCTCATAACAGGTGCTAGAGATGGATCAATAAAAATATGGAATTTCAACAATGGCGCCTGCTTAAAGATTCTAGAAAGCTCGTACAATGCAGAAGTGATCTGCTTTGTCTTGTTTTACAATAATGTACTAGCTAGTGGCTGGAGCCAGGTCATTGCAGAATACAGGTTCTTCTTGACATGATTATGCATTATGCATGATAATGCATGTACATCTATTTATATATAGGGATTTAAGCTCTAAAGATCCGAATGATCTAATACCTACATACTGGGGGAAAAATATCCACGAAGATGACATCCTTAGCATGGCTTATCATGACCCAGGGATAATTGCTACTTCTAGTTTTGATGGTGACATTATCCTCTGGGATATAATGACTGAGCAAGTCATTGCAATACTCAATGCAACTGACGTTGATTTCAGTGCACAATATGCTCGCCTTTATAATAAGATGAGCAAAAAACCAGTAGAGGGTAACATGGTCAAAGAAAGTAAGTGAATATTTTGAAGCCTGAGAGTGCATGGGTATCAGCTCAAGTTGACCTTGTTGTGAAGTGAGAAATGATTGCGAAGAGGAAGTGCTGAAATATAATGTTGTTCATAGTGACTGCTTGTTTGTCTAGTAAGGCACTCATCGAAGAAAGCATCAGTTTCTAATCAGAGGCAAAACAATCTGAAAAATATGGGAGAATCAAAGAAACCAAGATTTGGCTACGGAACTAACAATGCAGTTGAAAAAGTATAAGTTTTAAAAAAGTCAAAAAAGTTCACGAAACATAACATAATGACTAGGTTATATTCTTGGAAAAAAGAGAAAAGTCGGTCAAGACTGCGACTCTAGTAGCCTGTGGTGCAGGGGGCCTGGTTCAGTTCTGGAATATATACGGAGGAGGTCTGATAGGAGAATTTAACACTTTCTATTACATATACAAGACCGAGGAGGAAAGGGAGGCTGTGCATGTACTCCATTCGGTCACTACATGCAAAGCATTGAGCGATAACTCAATACTAGTAACAGGGTCATCTCTAGGATATATACAGGTTGGAAGAATCTATTTTGTTTATTATAGCTCTAATTATGTATAATAATTATACAATACCTATTATTATTACTAGGTATGGGACATCAGTTCATTTTGTGTTGACGTACTCAATGAGTCAAAGCCTATTAAGAATATGCCTCCAATTATTAGTTCCTGGAGAGGTCACACTGATGCTATCATTAGCATTGATCTTGTGGAACACAAGGAATTGATTATAACAGCATCTTTAGACTGTTGCGTGAGCCTTTGGACTTTATGCGGTCGTTACATAGGTAAAGAAATACAACACTGTAGTGTGGGGATACAATAGCTATTGTAATAGCAATGACAGGAATATTTTGTCTGCCATAGTAATTGTAATGGGAAATTGTCTGTAATCAAATTTGGTAATGAAAATATTATTATTATTATTATTATTATTGTACGTGTCTCATGTTGTCTATAAATTTGAGCTCATTCCGATTGAAACTGGATTTTTAAATTTGCTCAAAAATTGGGTCAAAGTCCCTGTACAGGGATTTCGGCCAAATTTCACCAAAAATGACTAGGTGAAAATTCTTTATTTTTATAATTTATCCTGATACGTATACATGTTCTTATGTTCTGTAGCATTGTTGAGCTGATTTCTAATAAATTTGGATTTTTTATGAATTTTAAAAGTTGCTCCAAAATTGAGCTAAAATCCCTGTACTATAGTACAGGGGTTTTGGCCAAATTTTGCCAAAAATGACTAGGAGAAAATTCTTTGTTTTTATAATTTTTTCTAATACGTATACATGTTCTTATGTTCTGTAGCAAGTTTGAGTTGTTTCTGATCAAATTTGGATTTTTTACAAATTTTTGAAGTCACTTCAAAATTGTGCCAAAAAATTAAATATGAGAATTCTCCATTTTATTAAACTTTCTTATGTACATGTGAATGTGCATGTTATTTGGACTTTAAAAAAATTTTTTTTAAAGCTTGTACATGTACATAGCAGGGTTTTACATGTACATGTATGTACTACAGTTTACCATCATCTACACATGTACATGTACACACAGGTACATTTGGTGAGAGCTACATATGGAATCTAAACAACATTGAAACCAGAGTCCCGACCAGGCTACAACAAATAGCATCAGAGACCACACTGCAAACAATAGCACCAAAGTACGCTCTGTACATGTACATGTACATGTACATGTAAAGGTGTATAATGTATTTACAACTTTTAATAGGGTCATAAAAACTTTCTCTTTACTTTACATGACAATGGCCGAGGAAGTAATAGAAAAAGAGCTACATGTAAGCGAAGAGAAAGCAAAAACAAACAACGAAAAGAATGATTCTGTACCAATAGAAGATATACTCAAAGCATGCAAAAACCCAAAGAAGAAACCCTGCCCGCCAATCAAGCTGAAAGTACGAAACTCGGAGTATGGTCTATCCGTATACTCGCACTTAAAGTGTCCTGAACTACAGCCAGAGCCAACATATAGCCACCCACTAAGTGGTCCTAATAATAGCAAGAGGAATAAGAAATCCGAGAAGGCAAATTCGTGCGATAAGGCTTTGCCAAAGAAACTGATAACAGAGAAGACACTATTTCCCAATACAGCAGAATCAATAAAATAATAAATAACTATAACAATAATGCTAATGATAATAATAATAATTAATATCAAATAAAATTAATAATAAGTACCTTGATGAATGCTACACAGACCTTCTATACAGTGTATAATGATATAGATTAAGTAATGGCTGCTTCTATTTTAGTTTTTATTATTCTTTGCATCCAGTAGATCCATATAAGCACAAACCACTAAATCAGAGTCACTTATTCCCAAGTCCTTCATCAGTTCTTCAGCTATTGCTGTTCCCTCTGACATCTCCTGACCTTTCCTCATACAAACCTAGTAGATACCGGCAATCTTATACTACATGTACTACACGTTGTAAATAGTAGCTTAGCACTAAAATATGGGTATCAGCCAAACTGTAAATGAGGAGGCTGCCTTGAATTATAACAGCATTATGTGCTTTATGAAAGGATTCAATCATAGTACATATGTAAGGTCACAATAGGATGTAGCTCTATTGTACATTATAAAACAAACTAGCCCATGATGCAAGCATGTGCATAACATGAGTGTGTGTGTGTGTGGGTGGATCTGTTTAGATGCAGGCATGCTTGCATACTTCCAGTTCCATAAAGTTTCCAAGTCCTTCAACCGAGTCAACGTGTACTCTTGTTTGCCCTACCATAAACAACTGACGGACTTTTTTAACAATCCCTAAGAGAAAGTGAGAGGAGAGATGTCATTACAATGGCTGCATTCAGTGAATTGTGTTCCTTCCTTTTCATTCTTAAATAGTCTCATCTCTCTCTCTCTCTTTACCTCTGACACCTAATGCAAGTCTAAGTGTTTCTTTGAGGTCCTTTGGATTCTGAACAATGGTATACGTGTAATCACTTTGCTTGGGGCCAGATATGTCATTTCTTGTGTAATATATCAATTTACCAGAAGCACCCTCATTCTCTATTCTCAACTAAAGTTACAATAATAAGAATCATAATATTGTTCATGTACATGTCACATTGATGAGTAGCAATCAAGTTATGTGAAATATTTAAAAATTTATAAGACATGACAAAATTATTGCATAACATGACATGTACATATAGTACATGTACTATGGGTTTATACAATCTCCATGATTATCAAACAGTTTCATCACTATAACAATGCTCGTTGTACTGTCATTTTTATCATGAAAGATAAAGAGCTTACTGACATTAATCTGGTGTCAAACTCAACAAAGTGCAAATGAGTGGAATATTGTCTTAATTTAATTATCGTAACGTGTACCTTGAGCCTTCCATTGGGAGAATTAAAGAACACATCTTCTTGTTCTAACCTCGTTCCTACGGTAAAAGAAATAATGCTGATAATAAGCGAGCGATCTTACCCTGTGATCCACTGATAGACCTTGCCTTTTCAAGGAGAAGTTCTAGATTCTTTACTCTTGCTTTAATCTCAATGTTAGTCGGCATATTACTGTTTTCCTATATCTTGATATCCTATCCTATCCTATCCTCGTGTAATGAGCCACACCCACACTAATTAATAAAACCCTGTGCATCAGTTTGCACACATGCAGCACCTAATAACGGTCTGGCTGTAGCAAGACTACACTTGCAGTGTACTAGCTAAGATTTGACTGTGAGTGTCTGTATAATTTATGCTATTAATAATATTAAAAATATGCATTAAGTTTTGTCTTTACGAAACATAAACATTTATATAACACGGTTCTTTAAAATACTTGCACTCTATTGTTTAGCATGTCACAGACATATATGTAGCCATCATCGTCTACTGCGATCCCTTTTGGAGCACTAAAGTCACCAGGCTGGCTCCCCTCCTGCCCAAAACAGACAACAAACTCTCCGAGTGGACTGAAAACAGAGATACGGTTATTCCCCTCTTCTGCAACAAAAATAAATCCCTCCTCGTTGACGGCAATGCCCCTCGGTTCCAACAGCTGTCCGTTCTTCTCTCCCTTCCCTGCAATACTATTAATGCACTGGAGACTCTCATTAAAGACAGCTATCAAATGGTTCTTGTTATCAGTTACATAATAGTGCCCTCTCTTATCAAACACTATGTCATACGGAGTCACTGCATGAAGTGACTGCTCTAATTTCATGTCTGGCGAGAATATCTGGACCCGGTTGTTGCCATGGTCACAGACACTGATGCATCCACTGACAGGCGAGATGTGAATACCATAGGGATAGTCAAAGAGTGGCTCTCCATCTCCCTTACCACCCACCCTGCTCACTTGATCTCCCTCGTGATTAAAAGTGTGCACTGAATGGCTCCCAGAATCAACCACATACACAAAGCCTTGCTTGTCAACTCCTATTCCATTTGGGAGACGTAGTGTTGGGGGAGTCCCTATTGTTTGTAGGACTTTACCGCTTGTCTTATCGCGTAGAGTGACACTCCTGGTCTTGCACTCAGAGACAAGTATGGCAGTTGAATTAGGGACTATGGCCACATTACAAGGCATGCTGAGTCCCTCTATAACACGGACTGGATACCCAAGCATAGCTGGATCTTGTTTAGCATAGAATGAATAAGATTTTACACTCTTGACTGCCTTTCCGTTTGATTTAATGACCAGCTGATGACGTCCCCTTATCACTGGTTGAAAGACAAATGAAGCAACCAGAGACGATGAAGGAGGCTCGTCAAAACTAAGAGCCTGACTTACGGTCGAGTCGTTTGCAAATGATTTGATGTCGACTGTGTACTGATGCTTCTTTGGATTCAGTTTCGATTTCTCGCCAAGAGGAATCATAAACTTGATAAACTGATTCATGATGATAAGAATTGTTTCGTTGGAAGAGAGTGTGCACTCAACTGGTACAGGATGAATACTGACTGGCCCCTCAGTTTCATCTTTATCATCACTAGTGACAGGTCCAGAGTTATCTGCTGTTGGCTCTGGAGGCATAGGCGAAGTAGCCTGAATAAAAATTAATTTTTAGCGTAATGCATTTATAATAGTTCATTGATGCAACTAACTACAATATTCATAAACTTGGGGTATGATCATTTCTCTTACTTTTAGTGAGTCAAGGACTTGCTGTAGTATATTCCTTTCAGCTGCTGTCAGTCTGTGAGATTTCTTTGCACTCCAACTGCTCATCTTTCTCTTTAGTAGTGATTTCTGTAGGCCTGAAGTCTCTTCAAATCTGTCCAGGAGCTGAGAGATCTCCTCATCCTTTATGAGAGCTCTCTCTTCCTTTGTTTGTGAGTTCCATTTGTTCATCCAGTCCTCAATGTTGGTATTAAGAGTCTCAATCTCTTCCTGCTTCTCTGTGACTTCCTTCAGAATACTGGTAGAAGAGTTCCTTGTCAAGACTTCTTTCTTTTCCTCTGTCATCTCCAACTCAATGACTTCTTTCTGTATCTATAGCAAAGCAGCAGAGTGAAAGACAGATAGTGTTTAGCTATTCATATACTAACAGCACATGCAAAACAGCCAACGTTATATAGTACTATGTATAGTATAGTACACATGTCACAAGACTTCATAGTGCATAGACGTACAAGACTAAACAGAATGGGAATTATGTCCACAAACCACATTACAACCTGACAATAATGTCTCCTCCCAAGAGAAAATAAATATACTCAATATCCCCTCAGTCCCAACCCAACCTCCAATTCAGTTCACATATATATGCTTTGACACATTTGCTCATTCACTAATATTGAACTAAATAAACGTATTTCCAGTATATGTGTAGACACTTTACTTACTCGAAGGACTTTTGTTTCTGATTTTGTTTTAATTGCCACTTGAGACTGTAAGTGATGATCCATTGTTAACTCGTGAAGTAAGCCTTCGGATTCCAAGAGACCAATGCTCAGCTCTAGCTCATTAATCTGGTGACATTTTGACACAAGGAGGTTGTATTCTTTCTCAATGCTTTCATAAACTGACCCAATCTGTTGGAGCAAGCTATTGATGCGAACACTGGCTAACTCAGAATCACTCGTCTGATAGTTTCTTGAGTGAACCAGCTCCTTCATCAGATCAAGTAGTGGCTGCTTCTGGGCTCCTGCACTAATGGATTGTGTTGCTTCTTCATTGCTTTCTTCTTTGGTGTGTTCTTGCTTCTCTTGGCCCTTTTCATCTTCAGCTTCAACATCTTCCCCTTCTTCTTCTTCTTTTTCTTCAAAGATATCAGAAGGCAATGGTCCCAAAATACTCTTCAATGCTTGTATCTGTTTAGAGTGCTTATCAATCTCTCCTTCTGCATCTTTCTTCATTTTTAATGCATAATGTGCATCCTCTAAATAGCTCTTTAGTTTCGTCTTCAGGTGCTCAATTGAAACGTCAAGTGCTTTCCTTTGCTGTGTGTATAAAGTGAGTAGTCTTCTCTTTTCTATAATTTTATCTTCAATAAGTGACAATTGCTTCAAAGAGTCATTGATCAAAGGATCTGCTAGGAGCCGAGCCTATTTGATATAATGATGATTGATTAATAACTACTAGATTGAAGAACTATATAATGAATTTTATTTATAGTCCACTTACATGAGCTGATCCATTGTTCTCTATCACTAAAGGCTCAGCCTGTTTTATTGAAATATCTATAAATAGCATGATTATATGCTTCAGTGAATTACATCTACACACCATATGTTCTAGCAATTGAATCAGCTATGCTCTTCTTTCCAATAGTTATCATTACTCTTGCCACATTGCTCCATGTTAATTGACTCTCCCCTTGAGCATCAGTGTTGTGTCTATACCAGAGGCCAAGTAACTGTGAATGACACCCTCCTAGATACAATATAGCAAATTTCATGAATACCGGTCTTCATGTTAAAAGTTTGTACCTCTGTGCCTAAAATTGAACAGGATGCCCATTAAAGTTGAGAGTGGCATTCTAGTGAGGATACCGATGTGAAACCAGCCAGAAACTGAACTCAGTTCTGCTCTTAAATCATCAAGTAGCACAGAGTCTGTAAATTAATAAAACATAATAGTTATTTCATAGATATTGCATCAATTATTGCACAGATAGTGAGTTCTCACCTCTAAAGCCTAACTGGTGTCCATTGATATTATTGTAAGTTTGCATTGCAGACTGAAAATCAAAGACCAAGCTATTAGCCACTGCTTTTCTTGCCAACTCATAATTAGCAAGACTGACTGGAAGGATCCTGACCTCCTTTGACGATGAATTTGGCGAAAAGTGAAGAAGCAGGAGTTGACAACTGTTGCCACGACGAAACATGTACTGAAGACGTAGATCACTCTCTGATCCTTCCTTCTCACTCTTTTTCTTTTCCACTCTCTCATCTCTTAGTAATGGAGTACCAGCATATTTAGCTTCAGCTGCAAAGCTATCCCAGACCAAGAGCCACACATGAGGCGTAATGTCATCAAAAGCAGCTAATAGCTTCCTGATACTTGCAAAATCCTCAAAACTTATCTCAAGGAGTGGAAAAGGATCAGGGAAGACAGAGATGATGGAGGAGACCCCATACTGAGCTAAAAGAGTTGATAGTTTCTGCAGGACTGGCTGCAGAGGAAGCTTGACAGACAGTGCATTACATTCCAATAGATGAGGAGGTACAGTTTGAAGAGTGACTGGGTGATCTTTGATCAATATTGATACTCTCAAAGCATAGAAATCATTATAGAACTTGCATCTGATTTGCAATGGAGACTGCATGCTTTGAAGATAATGAGCCCCACCCAAAAGGTACCACCACGCCCTAGTAACCGCCCTAGACTTTTTGGCAGACTGCTTTACCACGCATGCGCACAAGTAGGAGGAGTTGTAGGCGTGGTTTAAATGTTAACTCTTGTGCATTAAATAGAATAATTACACGTCATTCAAAGATCCATTGTTCATAGTCTTCTTGTCTTGTATTTTTATTATTATTTCTGGTATAGTTTGTGGTCCTGGATATTGCTTCTAAAATGTATGGACAATTTCCTCCAACTAATCAAGTAAGAAAAATTCTAATCATCACATTTGACTGACTTTTTCACTCTTTCCCTTACACTAGATGAATTCCCTCTCTCTCAATCAAGGACCTCCTCCTCCAGGTATGCATTGTGTCATCCTTTTGATGGCATTTCTTTGAAAGGCTGATATTAGCCTGTTTAACAATAATTACTGGTGTTTATATGGAGATGGCATACATGTATATGATTATGTAAAATATTAAAATAATTTATTATAATTATTATGTCTTAAGAGTTTTGATTCTTATACAATACGTAGGGTCAAATTATGGCATGCCACAGCCAGTGGGAAATATGAAAGCACCTCCAATGATGATGCCTGGACCCCCTGCCAGTTCAAATTCAATGATGCCCGGTCCCCCTACCATGATGCCGCCAGGACCGAATCCAATGATGCCAGGACCCCCTGCTGGAAATTCCATGATGTCAGGTCAACCTCCGAATTCAGGGCAATTTACTTCAAACTCAATGATGCCAGGACCTCCTATTTCAAACTCAGGACCCCCTGTTTCGAATCCGATGATGCCAGGACCCCCTCCAAATAATATGGTGTCAAGACCTCCTCCTAATTTAGGGCCACCTACTTCAAATCCAATGATGCCAGGACCCCCTACTTCAAATTTAATGATGCCAGGTCCTCCAACTTTAAATCCAATGATGCCATCAGGACCACCTACCTCAAATTCGATGATGTCAGGTCCACCAACTTCAAATTTTATGATGCCACCAGGACCCCCTACCTCAAATCCAATGATGTCAGGGCCCCCTACCTCAAATCCAATGATGCCTGGACCCCCTACCTCAAATTCGATGATGCCTGGACCCCCTACCTCAAATTCGATGATGCCTGGACCCCCTACCTCAAATTCGATGATGCCAGGACCTCCTACCTCAAATTCAATGATGCCAGGACCTCCCACAGGCTCAATGGCTGGACCACCTGGTCCAGGAATGATGCCACCAATGAACAGAGCAGGTCCTCCTGGAATGATGACCGGACCCCCTGGAATGATGACTGGACCCCCTGGACCGCCAATGACTGGAGCTGGAATGTCTGGTTCTCCTGGAATGATGTCAAGACCCCCTGGGCCAAGACCCCCTGGTCCAAGACCTCCTGTAGGTTCTGGACCCCCTCCAATGTCACCTGGTCTGGTACAGTCACAGCCAACAAGCAGATCAGGACCGCAGAAGATTGATCCTGACATGATGCCTAATCCTGTGAGAGAGAGGGGGGGGGAGAGAAATATGCATTCATAATTATTATTTTTGTTAGATTGCTGTGATGAAAGACAATCGTGACAGATTCTCTGGTCAGGTTTATGGTGCTGCGCCTCAAGCTGGCCCTCCTCCTTTAGTGACCACTCCCTTTGTAATACAGGACCAAGGTTGACACTCCCTATCTCACCACTCTTTCATTCTCTTTCTCTCTTTTTTTCCATGTTAGGTAGTTGTAGTCCCAGATACATTCGGTCTACCTTATATACTGTTCCTTGTACTAAGGATATTCTTAATCAGTGCTGTATTCCACTTGGTCTTGTCATACAGCCGTTTGCTAGTGTCCCATTGAGTGAGGTACAGTTATGCTTAATAATAGTATGATAATTTTAATACTTATCAAAAAAATTCTAAAACTTCAGTATACTGTACTTGTACGTGTATCTTTCACCAAAAGAGTTCGGTCATAGCACAAGCACTATCTAGTCTTTATTCTTTATTCTTCTCTTGTAGAATTCCCTCTATCTTGTTGATCACGGTCCTTCTGGCCCGCTGCGTTGCAATCGTTGTAAAGCATACATGAACCCAAACTGTCGTTTCATTGATGGTGGGCGTCACTACGAGTGCCCAATATGTCTGTGCAGCAACGAAGGTAGGAGGAGCTGTTACGTATAAAATATATTATTTATACTCATTCTCTCTTTCTTGTAGTTCCACCCGAATATTTCTCTCATTTGGATCACACTGGTAGAAGAGCAGATGTCGCTCAGCGTCCTGAGCTCCTCTATGGAACTGTTGAATACATTGCTACAAAGGATTACTGCAAGGTTAGTGCACCTCAGTATATTCCTGTTCACCTCAGTATATCATGTAGGAAAGCCTCTTGCCTTCTCCTGTTGCTTATATATTTATGATTGACGTGTCACTGGGCAATCTTCAAAATGGAGTCGTTCATTTACTAACCAAAACAATAACAACTTTACTGGATAATCTACCCAGGTGAGAGAGAGGAGTGTGTGTGTGTGTGTGTGTGTGTGTGTGAGTAATATTAGTTCATGTGGGTGTTGATGTCAAATTGCTCTTTTATTAGAGATGGAAATGAAGTCTCGCCAGTCAAAGTCGGTTTTGTCACGTATGATCGAGTCCTTCATTTTTACAATGTCAAGGTATTTCTGACATTGCTCAGTATATTTCTGTAATATTATAGTTCCAGTATACTTCTGTATATCCCAGTATAACTACATGTATAATATGTACTTGTATATAGGAAACTCTGGCCCAGCCACAGATGATGGTTGTTTCTGATACTTCTGACGTGTTTGTTCCTCTTCTTGATGGATTCCTTGTTGATGCGAGTGAGGCTAGATCAGTCATTGAAAAGTTAGTGAATATACATGTGCATGTAGTCCATGTATAATGTGTTGAACTGACTATTATTATCTAATTTATGGCGTCTGCTTGTATTGCTGTAGTTTGTGTGGTCAGTTGCCTGAGATATTTGCTAATCAAAAAGTCAATGAAGTTGTTCTAGAGCCGACCATTAGAGCAGGAATGGAAGCATTGAAAGTAAAACGAGGAATGGTTTGTAATTTTTAGTATCTCTCTCTCTCTTTAGGCAGCAAAGAAAAATGGAAGATTATTTGTATTTCATTCGAACCTACCGAGTCACAATGCTCCTGGCCAACTGAAAAACAGGTCAGATCAGAAACTCCTGGGGACTGACAAAGAGAAGGTAAAGGAGAAATACTTGTACTGCCTTGTAGGTAGCAGAGGCAGCAACTACAACCAACACTGTTGTATATGCTCCTGCTAGTGAGAGAGAGAGACTTCATTGTTTTTATACATTACCTTTTTCTTTCTCTTCCCCTCTCACTTATGGCAGACATTGCTCAATACGGTTGGTGGTTCATATTCTAAATTAGCTGAAGAGTGTGTCAAAGCTGGTGTCGGCATTGACTTGTATCTGTTCCCTTCAACTGGTTACACTGACACAGCAACACTAGGGAAACTGGCTTCAACTACTGGAGGAGAACTACACTTCTATCCTAACTTTCAAGTAATAGCTTCTATTGTAATGCATATTATTGTACTAGCAATCATAAATAGTTAATAATTATATTGACTACATGTATATGTACATGTACACTGTACAATTGCTTTCCTTTTTTTTTCTTTCTTTCTCTTAGTCAAGTGTTGATGGTGAAAGGCTCTTGAATGATGTGTCTCGTTCCATGAGTCGTCCAACTGCTTTTGATGCTGTCATGAGAGTCAGATGCAGTGCTGGTAATCAGTTACAAATAACATTCAGCTCCTGTTACTTTACATGACTACTCTCTAGGTATTAGGGCTGTGACGTTTTACGGAGGGTTTTTCATGGCAAACACAACCGATATTGAGTTTGGTAACATCGACGACGAAAAAGCAATCGCAGTTGAGATCAAACACGATGACAAGATGAGAGAAGACTCTGTCGCCTGCGTTCAAGTATATGCATCTTCTTCTAATCAGTCTCATTTATTACTCTTATTAATGCCTGCCCTCCTCTAGGCTGCATTGCTTTACACAACAGCAACAGGTCAGAGGAGACTGAGGGTCCACAATATGGCAATGAGTTGCTCCAATAAAATGTCGGATATATATCACAGCTGTGATATTGATACACTGACATGTTTCCTCTCCAAGAGTGGTAAGGGAATTAAGTCACTATAATTATTTTCTGTCTTATTTTTTATCTGTATACTTTATCTCATTTTATCTTATTTGTTATTTATTTGTCTTTCTCTCTCTTTGTGTTAGTAATCAATGCTTCGTTTTCAATGCCTTACAAGTCAATCAGAGAGAACTTTACCAATCAGTGTGCCGCTATATTGGCTTGCTATCGTAAGAACTGCAGCCAGCAAAGTCCGCCCGGTCAGCTCATACTACCCGATAGCCTCAAGCTCTTACCAATGTATGCTAACTGCCTGCTTAAATGTGACGCACTCCTCTCACGTGAGTAACCACACCTACTCTAACCACGCCCATTTATTGTTTTTGGTAATTATGTAGCTCCGATGGTTTCTTTGGATGAGAAGTGTTTTCAAATGTTTTATGTTTTGAACATGAATTGGAGCCAGTGCCTCAGTTACCTGTATCCTAGGGTATTATGTTTGGTAGGTTGTGTTGTTGTTTTAATTATAATAATAATAATAATTATTATTATTATTATTATTATTATTAGTCGTCTCCCAATATTTCTGAGTCCTCGTTTCTCAGATGTACTGCACAGAAACTCTCCCCTGACGGTATTTATTTAATCGGTAATTAGCGACTAGTTTTATTATTAATTAACGAAGTCTGTTTATAGATAATGGCCTGGTAATGATGGTCTGGATTGGACAGGATGCGTCGAATGAATTAGTTAGTAAACTATTTGGAGTTGGTTCTGTTGCTCAAGTGGATAATAATATTGTAAGATTTATCACCAATAACTAATGCATGTATTGAAATAGTAAGGATTATTATACCTTTGCTTTTTCTTCAGAAGAAATTGGCTCATTTTTAAAATGGCCATAACTCGAAAAATTTTAGTCAGAATCAGCTCAAACTTTCTACATAGCATAAGGACATCAATATGTATCAAAAAATGTAATAAAAATTTGGGGTGATTTTGGACCCATTTTTTGGAAAAAACCATGGGCTATAGTACAGGAAGTTTTTTAGAAATTGGCCATTTTAAAAAAATGGCCATAACTCGAAAAATATTTGTTGGAATCAACTCAAACTTTCTACATAGCATAAGGACATCAATATGTATCAAAAAATGTAATAAAAATTTGGGGTGATTTTGGACCCATTTTTCGGAAAAAACCATGGGCTATAGTACAGGGAATTTTTCAGAAATTGACCATTTTTTAAAAAATGGCCATAACTAAAAAAATATTTGTCAGAATCAACGCAAACTTTCTACATAGCATAAGGACATCAATATGTATCAAAAAAATGTTATTAATTCATTTAAGTTAATTAAAATGAGTATTGTCATAACTTTCTATGTTAGCATTCGCTCCCAGCACTGGATAATGACTTATCATTCAAAGCCAGAGATATTGTCAAGAAGATCAGTGGACAGCATCAAAGGAAGGTAAGAATCATTCCCCCTTAAGAGTATGGTCCAAGATACATGTACATGTGGGGAAAAAAGAAATTTTTATTTCTTATCCTTCTCTCTTTCTCTTTCTTTCCTTTCTCAATCAGTTTTTGGTAACAAAACAACGTGACAAATCTGAGATGCTTTTCAGGCGTCTACTGAAAGAGGACAAAGGCAGTGGCCCGTGGGAAGGAACCTCTTACGTTGATTACTTGTGTCAGCTGCACAAGGAGATTAGGGATATGCTCTGATTGCTGGCCTTCGGGTTTAATTTTTCAAAAACCGATTCTAGCTTTTTTTTTTCAAGTTTTAGTTCTGTTGTTGTATACCCTCTTCATAATCTCTAATATTAATAATAATAATAATGTTATTAATAATGATATAATTTATGTTGATGAATATTTCAGTCTACGTCTCATTTGACACATTAATGATGAAAACTTTGTCTGGAGAGTAAATTGCACAGCATTTCTGATTTTACCTAATTTTAACAGAATGCATCAATTATTTATAAACTTTTTGTTTAAATAGTGTTAATGGGTTTTGAATTAAAAGTATCACAAAGTAAAATATAATATCACTTATCTGATGTTTATTAACCAGTGTTTAGTCTGTACTAGTTACTAAAGTAAAGTCTACCCTCATTTGTCCACTGTACTGTTGATTTCTCTGTATGATCATCACTCATCAATTCGTTGCATTCTATGCACACAAGAGGTGCAGGAGAGGCATGATTCACAGCTTCCAGTTCTGGTATGGCTGGGAGTGTTGGAGGCCTTGATACCTTGCAAAAACCTGAGGATGTGAAGTAGTTATAGAAACTAGGCTCTCGATGGGGAACACTGCAGTTGGTATCTTCTGACGAGTATAGAAAACCTTGGAGAAGCTCGTATGGTAGCTCTTGGTAATCTCCTTTTTTGACTTTGTACACAACTTTAGAGAAAAGTGTCTCCTGAAGTACATATTTATCATATTCATCATATTTGGGGTTTGCTGTAATGGGGCGAGACTTCCCAGAAGCAATTGGAGGTAGCATTACAGGATTGTTGATATCTTTCATCTTCAAGGCTTTTCTTTTGACGCTGCTTTGAGTACGGGCAGAGAAGCATCTTGATGTATCTTTCTTTAAATGTGAATTGGTAGCTATAGAGTATCTTGAACATATGGAACGGGTTGATGGGTTTCTCACACATTCCGCTGCCGACGCTACAGCTGTCACTTCTAGTGGATGGTAAGATTTTGATGTTGATGGTCGTTTTTTGCTGCTGATGATATTAGTATTGCTATCACTAGTTGAAGTAGAAGAAGGAGGTCTCCTGGTTTTATCGTTAGCAGATGTACCCCTTCTTGTTGAGTAAGATACTGCAGTAAGCTCTGGTGGAGGTGTCCCTGGTCTAGGTGTCTTATCTGATAATAATAGATCAGAGGCTATTGAAGGATTGTATCTCTTTTTCCTTGTCTGCAATGATGCTGAGGATGATGAGTTAGAGTGGGATGACATCACTAGAGTCTCAGATCATCAATTGTCCTGCGTTCCACTGACTCTAGAACACTACTCTCTCTTTCTCTCCTTCCCTTCTGATGTGGTATGATAATCTGGATTGTGCTACTTATCGCATAGCCAATCCTTCAATGCACTGTCTCAAACTTGTTACCATCACAAGTGTTATTTCAATCATGTGCATATTCCAGCTGAGAGAGATTTCCACCACTCCATGCATTCCTTGCTCTTTGCACTCACTCTATGTCTTTAGGCACTGGATTTAGTAGAATTTAGAAATTAAAATGCACAATTAATGCTGTCTGAAAGGAAGTGAGTCACAGTGTACTTTGTCTCGAGGTCACGTGTACCAAAACTTTTCAAACCACAGCTTCCGGAGCCACTCCTACTGGATCCAATCCATCCAAACCTTTTCTGCATAATAAAGGAGGAGAAACTAAAGGACTTGTCAGTTTTGCTGAATCCTTGCTGCTTTCCTCTGCGCACACGCCTCTTCTCTCTCACTTTGGAGTAAGGGAGGTTGGAAGTGTTCATTTTGTAGTAAAGGAATCTGGTTTTCTCTTATATTTATTGAGCGAGTACAAGGTAAAGTGTGGAGATCGGCGAACGTTATTGTTTACCACCTCCTTCGCAGTCTGCCTCCTGGTGCTAATTGAACCAGCTACTCTCACAAAATAGAGGAAGAAAGCCACTCTCTCTCCCCTGCTTATCCTCAACTACTTATTAGAGCGCTTAAAATCTTTGATCAGGACTTCTTTATCAATTGTGAGTAATTAGTACACTCGCTCAATTCCTTCTTTCTTTTTTGCATGAGATCCTGGACAGAGAAAGAGAGGCTGTGTGTGTAAGAGAGAGAGTTTACTTATCTCTCTGTTTTGTCAACATTGAGAGTCTTGAATAAACTTGATTGTTATTAAACTTTCTCTCTCTCTCTCCCTCTCTCTCTTCTTTTCCACAGATGACTGATATTATCAATACGAATTCCCCTTCCTCTGAGAGTGGGAAAAACGTGATTCTCAAAGTCTCTGAGAACAGCGACGCACAGCTCGAGGACTTGTTTAAGGTTTTAAATGCCGGTGACAGCAGCAATCAAAGCGCTAGAAAGCGTGGGCTCCCTCCGTCAATCTACGAAGAGCCGAACAAAGATGAACAGCAGAAAAACACGCTCGGCCCGTCTATCCAGTTACCCCAGAACCCTGCGTACGGTCCAGGACGAAACAACGCACATTCTAGAGTCCTGTCCCTCCCGGCGGACCTGAATAGATACCCAAGAGGGGACGAGTACAACTATCACAATATTCCGCTGCCACCAGGTTGGGAGATTGGGAAGACACCGGATAGTCACACTTACTTTATCAAGTGAGTTTTTGCATTCACTATATATATATATATATACAGACAGGCAGCACTTAATATTTAGTATACACAGTTTTATCTGTTATGATATACCAAGTGTAATTTGTGTGTCATTTGTAATGTGTTTTTGATGTGTATAGCTTGTGTGTCTGGGGGAGAGTTTGTATGGTAGTGAGTGTACATGTGACTGTGGATTAAGATTAATAAGGAAAGAGTGGAAGAGATTCTGACTGTAGTGAAATGATGAGTAACAAAGAGACCGCAAAGAGAGAGAGAGAGAGAGAGGACAAGAGCCAGTGAGTGTATGTATTATTTGTACATGTATTTGCTTGTACTTGTAATTAGTGAAACTGACACAAATGATCTGTGGTTATACCATAATTATTATTTGATGTGACGGTTTTCTGAACACAGAAGACTTTCTTCTGCTAATCATATTAAGACAACAAAAGATGAGGACATGCACACACACACACACACAGACATCAGACAAGTTCCGAGAGAGAAAAGAGAAGGAAATTATCATAATCATTATTCTGATATATTATTATGCATGTAGTGTATGTGCAATTGTATACACACATGTATCTACATGCATGTACATGTATATAAAGTAATTATATTTGTGAGTTAGTAGTGAGTATGTGTGTGATTGTTTTTACCAATTAATAGATAAAACAAGTGGGGGAGTGTATGTGTAATTTTGTTAGGGACATGAGATACTTAGAATCTGCTGGTGTGAAAGAGAGGAGGAGGGGGGGAGGAAGAGGTTTAATTTAGAGAGGGCATTAGGGCTGCCTTGGTTGTAATATGTATGATAATGCATCAGTAAACAAGTAAATATTGATATTAATTATTTCACTAAATTTGACACATTTCTAATGTGTCAATCATTTTTGCTTGGAGGCTCTAACGCGCTCATAGCCAGTCAGTGACCCTCTCTTCCTTGTACTAAGACTCTGTGTGTGTATCATGAATCTTCTACATGTACATGTAATATGATTATTGTTTATTCTACTGGACTATTAATACTTGTACAAGACCACACACTCGAATTCCCCTCCTCCTCCTCTCTCTCTCTCTTTACTCAATTCTGTTTATTATTTCTACCTCCAAGTGTCAATATGTTTCAGACCAGTAGTGGTCAATTTAGTTTACAAACTCGAGCTATTAGTTTTCATCACATCTGCTTATAATTATACACACTAGACCACCTCCTCCTCCTCCTTTCTCTCTCTCTCTGTATATTATGTCATTGCCTGAGTGTCTGGGTTGGTGTTTTGGTGATTAGGTTCATGTTTAAACTGATCAATTAACTGTTAAATGGTGACCCAGCCACAAGATGAGGAGAGCGAGTAAGATCAAACGAGTGATCAGTAATAACAATTTATGATATCAAATTGTACATTGTGTCTACTCTACTAGTAATGTATCTTTGAAACTCTAGACACTTTGGTAATTCGGTCTTCACCATCCCACACACACACACACACACACACACACACACACACACACACACACACACACACACCATGCTCACACGATTAGAGACAGAACCATACATTGTATGTACATGTATATGTCCTTACACTATATTGTGCATCATTTTATTATTCTTTATATTGCATTGACTGTAGTTATAAAGGAAGTCGTTTGTGCCGAACAAAAGTTGTAATTATAATTTGTTCCGTTACTTATTACCATTCCTGGTGTGTACAACAGTACCAGGTGTATTGTGTGGGCCCAATGTCCTACTAGTTTTGTTTTATTTTTGATTTGTTTTTGTAATGGGCTCTTTATGATGGCACAGGTGTCAGTGCTAGGACAGAGTCAACTAGTGTAGAATGTTAACATCCAGTGATCCTGTATCCTCAGGTGTAAACAACAAACTGTTGTGACTCACTCTTCCTCTCTCAGAGAGCCTCTGAGACCTGCCTGGCCTGTCATGGGTCAATCGGTTTGTTTTAAATAAACTTTACAAGGTCAATACAAATCTCTTTCTTATTATTGATACGTGGATCATTAGCGAGAGAGAGTGAGTGAGAGTAGGTGTGTATTTTTGAGTTGGTTTGAGTGTTACCATACTGTAAGCAGATTAAAGCATATAGTGAAGCTTGCATTATAATTCATAGGCCCATTCTGTGTAGAGTTTAGAAAAGGAGAGAAAGACACAGGAAATGTTTATTTTTTTAATTTCTAAAAGAGGGAAAACACGCGTATAAAGGAAGAAATAATGAGCTTTTGTCCTTTTCCTTTTATAATTCTGTCTTATCTTCATTGAGCTTGTGTGTGTGTGTTATCAGCGAGTGTGTTTGTTTTTGTGCCAGTCTTTGTGTGTATTTTATAATCTCTCTTGGTGTCTCTGTCTATAATTGGAATGTTTGTATAGATCCATTGATGATTGGTCAGTTTGTTGCTCCATTGAAAAGGAAGAGAGAAGGAGAATGAATAGTGGAGGGGTAGCTTGTTTGTGTACACGTGTACATGTGCATGTTTATATATTTTTGGAGAGGGATGGAGTGGGGAATTTTTTGTACTAGCTGAAAATAGATGATCTCTTTATGATACTATGCTGATAAATTGGTTCCTTTTCCTGGAGTTGATCAAGTGCCAATAACCAGTTGACGTTTTTATGTTTTCTGTTTATGAGGCAACTGCAATGGATACACAACTAGTCCAGTATAGTTGCATAATACACTGCGTGTTCATGCACTTACATCCATCACACCGAGTGAGGCCTATAATAGGAATCACTCACTTGAAACAGTATAGCTGCTCATTTTTATAGTAAATAATAAGACAACAACAAGGAGGAGGAGGGGAGGAGAGAGAGAGGAGGGGAGAGAGAGAGAGAGAGAGAGAGAGAGAGAGAGCTGGAGTTTATGCTAGAGTTTATTTGCATCACATGTCTTGTTCTCTCCTCACATAATGATTATCCCAATAGTCATCTGACCTTGTCATGCACACAATGTGACATTAATGTATCACATATCAACTCTCTCATACTAACAATGAGAGGAAGAGATTAGGAAGACAGGGAGCCTCAGAGTGATATCAGTATCACGTGTAAATTTGTCACTGCTGACAGCTTAATTTCCAGTAAATTATGTAATTTGAACAATTAATCAAAGAATATGTCATGAGTGGAGTCATCCTGACCCATGCGTTATTGTACATGGTTCAATCTGTGTGTGTTTTTGTGAGTAACTATAATGAGTAGGTGTGTAACATAGTATATACTGTTAGTTTCATGTTGAGCAGATGTTATTAGTTGTGTGATGTGCCTGTGTATGGTATTTGCTTTCTGTGTCTATCCTGTATAATATACACAAGTCAGTACCTGTACCTCTATGTGTGTGTTCTTAGTATATTTAGTGTATAGTGTTGTATGTGACTTGGCCCATGTACATGTACGTGTGGGAGAGAACACTATGGCTAATCTAATTGAGCATCTTTGATGTTAATAACTGTTTACTATTAGTTAACACTGAATAATAATAAATTCCCTCTTTTTCTCTTTCTTTCCCTCTCTCTCTCTCTCTCTCTCTCTCTACTCTAGTCATAACGAGAGGCGGACCCAATGGGAGGACCCAAGACTACAAATGATGGGGCTCTCCCGTGGAGACCACATGGCAGGCGGAATGGTCGCTCCCCACAACATGGCCCAGCCCCCCTACAACCAGCAGCAGACAACGCCTACAGGGTCGCTAACACACATGGCAGGACCACAACCAAACTTCCCTCACTATCCGCAGCATCGTCATGTCAACAACCAATCTTTAGATCACACTCAAATGGGAGGCATGGGAGGAATAGCCGAGGGAGGAGAGCTACGCTCTCACCTCCATCCCCTCATGTCGCACCAGTACTCACAGTCGTATGGTGGTCCCACTCCCATCCATCGTCCAATGTCCAGCATGCCCGCCCCCATGGGCATGCACCCTGGCATGCATGTTCCTCTATCCTCAAAGCGCTCTTATGATCTAACCATGATGGAGCATAAGCCTCCAGTGACATTAGGAGGGGATCCTTATTTGAGTGAACACGCTAGACAAGCCTCACACGACTCTGGCCTTGGGTATCCTTATCAAGGGGACCAGGGTATGATGGAGTTTGAGGATACTTTTGATGGTGGTTTGCACTCTCTCCCTCCTCATCCTGGTCTCCCACAGGAGCAAGGGGGTCCTCCTAATCACGGACTAATGGATCCGTTACAAGGACCGCCAGGAGGCGAAGTAGAGCCACACCCTCAGATGGATTTCGGCGGTGACATGCTCGGGGACTTTTCCAACAATCAAGGAATGTTTGGTAGTAATACTTGGGTGTAACTCGCTCTATTGTCTTGCTCTTATTATCTCCGACCAATTGCCCCCTATACTCCCGACCTTCTCTTCTCCTTTCATTTCATTATTGTTTCTTCTCTTCATTCGATATGCTTTGTCCTTCAACAACAGTAGTCAAAGGTTTTCTCTTGAGAAAGACTTCATTTTCATCATTCACACGTTCATTAATGTTCCTCTTTCTCCTTTTTTGAGAACACGGTCTTTAATCCTCACTCTCTCTCTCTCTCTTTTGTATGTTTTGTGTGATTCTGTTTGTGTGTTTGTGTTGATATTTATCTCTATTTTTCTGAACGACTCCCAATTTTTATAGCACAAAATTAATGTAATTCCTTCAACTTATTTTCACTATAATTATAATAATTATTATTTAGTCTCACTCTTATTATTATCATCATTGATACTATTATTATTATTATTATTATTATTATTATTATTATTATTATTATTATTGTGGGTAATTCAATTTTGTAGTTAAACGAACATCAAAAGTTTTCAAAACATCATTAGGTGTCACCTCGTTAGCATGCGTGGGCGTTAACTGAATTTCTTTTCTGCAAGCAATCTCAATGTGCTGTGACTGGCACCTCTTCTAGCTCTCACCATCACATCTTTTGAAGTACTTTCAAATTTCTCCTGCCCTTCGACCTTTACGTACCTCCCTCCCTCATTGTGCAGTGTTATTTTTTCAGACCACTTGTCAAGTTCTCTTGTATACTTACGAGGTAGTAGATGAAAAGGGAGTTCAACCAGATGAACGAGTATTGCCGACTGACATAGGAGAGAGAGTGGAGCTGGAGGTGTACAAAGAATATAGTCGGAATTGATTCTCAGCAATTCTTGCGTATTATTGACAGAAATCCATACATGTCCATCATTCGTAATGCAGAAATCACTAATGCCGTTTTCACTTGCATCGAGTGAGTATAGATATTTCCTGTTCCAAAATATAGCTAGTGAAAAGGAGTCAAGTACAATCGTGAAGTTGTCATGAGGGTCACATGCAATTTTCAATGGGTTTCCAATGCATTCATTACCATATGCAGCAATCTTGCTACCATGCTTATTATAAACTTCAATTATACCTCCTCCTTCTCCTCCTCTGGATTTTCTCCTGTTTCTTGTTAACTGTATGTATCCTTCTTTATCAAAAGAGATAGATATTGGGTAAATTTTTGTAATTAATGTTTTCACGTAAACTCCACTAGTGTCGTATACTAATACAGAGCCATGTCTTGGCCTGCAGGTGCATACATAGATAAGATCTTCATCAACTTCATTTCTCTTTCCTCCGACTTTGATGTCTGTAATGTTGCTGATATCCTGTGCAAAGACTCTAACAAACTCTCCATTCTCTTTTCTGTACTGGAGTATGCCAGACTGTGTCACTGATGGAGCTGTGAGGAATATGTATTCATCTGTTGCAGCTAAAGCACCGATTGAAGCAGGTGATACAGCTGCTTGCAAGGAGCTCTCTTGCAACACTAAATTTTTGACACATTTACCATTTGAATTTATAACGGCCATTTCTCTACTTCTTTCGCATTCTTCTAATGGTGATCGAGGTAGGAGACACACAGAATCTGATTTAAATGGTAATATGGACTTGATTTGAGATGTTTGCTTAAATCTTGAATAATTCCTTTGATGAATTTGAAAATAAACAAATCAAAGTAAGGTCAATTTTCACCATCATAAAATGAATTCTTACCAAAGGTACAGTCGGGAATCTATTTCTCTTCTTTCTTCGTCCTCCTCTACATCTTCATTATGATTGTGAATGCTGGAATATAGAAACGACATTTCCTTAGCTGCTCTGAGCTAGCTCAAATGCTCTACGCCCCCTCAATTGCAGGTCTGCATTGATGCAAGATCAGCCCCTCCTTGTGGGGTGTGGTTTGATAGCAAAATGCCTATTCCTCAACAAGTTTTGGTATGAAAAATGTTTCTCATTTTCTTGTCATTTGTCTTCTTTCTGTCGCTACATATGTTGATTTTATTCCTCTCTTTTTCTTCCTTTCCTTGTGTTATGTTTTTTATTCCAGGAGCAACTGTTTGCTAGTATAGCAAAGGGTGACCTGAACAAGCTCATTGCTTTACTTAGAAAACATCCGCAATGTGTTAGTGCTACTGAAGAGGTCAGTGAATAAATGGCTCTGATGTAAGAAGTCATTCCAAAAACTGGTTATTTGTTGTGTTGGTAAATATAAAACATGCCAACAGTCAATTGTTATTTGGCAAGACACACTGCCTTGATGTTACCTGGCTGCCATATTCCTCTCTCTCCTTATCTCTCTTCCTCTTGTTTTCCTATTGTTAATTCATAACTGAAAATGGCATGTATAAGCAATGTACGCACACACACACATACAGAGGCCTAGACACTGATAACCAATAACCTGCTAACGTGACACATCTTCTTTCCTTCTATGATCCATCCCTCTCTTTAAACAGGAAGGTATATCTCTACTCCATTATTCTGTATTGCAAGATAGACCCGAGATTGTTATATACCTTTCCAATAATCCTGACTGTCTACTAACCCCACAAGACAAGGTATTATACATTAGCCCCACATTCATCGTTACATTTGTGTCTATAGCACTATAGCCACACGCCTCTACATATGGCATGTCTACACGACAATCACAGGATGGTCCAACACCTTTTGACAAAGCTGACCACAGACGAAGTGAACATGCAAGATAAAGTGGGTGGTTCAATTATTGTCCAGTATTAATATTTTTTGTTATAGTTTGGTTGGACTCCACTGCATCATGCAGTGAGAGTAGGCAATGCTGACATTTGTAGGACATTGATAAAATATAGAGCCAAGCCTGACATTAGAAATGAAGTAATTCTCTTCTCTCCTTCCTTGTTATTATTAATTTTATCATTCATTAGCTTGGTAAGACTCCATTGCACTATGCTGCACAGCACGGGTACCTTGATATATTGAAGGAGCTCTATGAACTGGTGACACTAGCAGTCATTGTCCCTCTACCTAGTGAAGTATGGACATTGAAATATGAATGATATTTTAGGACCATAACCCTCTGTTTATTCCTTTTCCTCTCTTTCTCCCAGTGTTTTGCTCTACCAGTACTTACTTTGCTTCATTTATCAGCTCTCAATGATCATGGCTCTGTTGTCAACTGGTTACAAGAGCAGCAGTATCCTCCTAATGTCAAATGTCTAAGAGCCTTGCATCAAAATGGAGAGGTAATCTCTCTTTCTTTCCCTTTATCCAATAATAAGTCTAATATTATTATTTGCAGTCCACACAAGAAGAACTGCCTGAAGACACTGCTCTTGCAAGAGGTCATCACAATCTAAAATCAGTTCTACACTCATACAGACAAGTAAGGCTATTTGGGTATAATATTCATTATTTTTTTTCAATAAATTCTTGATAATTTTTTGTAGCAATATGAGTCATGGATGCACGAGATTACCAGTGGCCATGCTCACCTTGAGCATATAAAGCTCTCACTCTTCGGTCCGTCCAATAGCGGTAAAACCTGTTTGAGAGACTCGTTAGAACGGAGTACCCTCCAGCTGCTACTGGGACGAGAGAGCGAGGCCCCACAAGAGGAAGGAGAGGGAGGAGGAGGAAAGAAGAGACATACTTACGGGATCGAAATTAGAGATTTAAAAATATCCGGTGGCAACGAGACCTATCACGTCTGGGATTTTTCCGGAGACCTTGGTTCCTACACGTCTCACTCTCATTTCCTCAGCACTGGTCACACCATATACACGCTGGTACTAGACCTGAGCCAGCCTTTACCTCAGATACGCTCGGATGCACTCTATTGGTTAGGGCTCATCAAAATGAGGAACCTTGGTAAGAGAATACCATACCAACACAGGGAGAGGCTAGATACAGCCAGACTCTCTCCAAAGGTACAGCAAAAGGTAGTCAAGGGAGGCACTCTATCCAGATTAAGGACAGTCTCTGTACCTGCTGTTACCAAGTTCCGTTCTCGTCTTTATAGTTCTAGTTTTGGTGGGTTCTCGGCCTCTTTGAAACCCAAAATGTCTCGTTCAACTTCTCCTTCTCGCTTGAGTCCACTCAGCCCATCTCAATCCTCTACTCTATTACCAGGTGTATCTCCTCATGATGTTCCTATCTCTTTTCCCTCTCCTCATCTCTCTCCCTCTTCCCCTCTCTCCCCTTACTCTGAAGTGGGGGACCTACCAGCCTGGTCCACTGTCCCGGTTATTGTTGTTGGCTCTCATTACGATCTTTTGTCTGAGAAACTTCGCTCTGAAGTCATTCAGAATCTTGAGGGTTTTTTTAGCGAAATGGCATCAAAGTTTTATCCTTTTCTTGAGCTCCTTCCACGCGTCATACACATGAACTGCGTGAAGCCGACCAGCTCTGATATCAAACTGTTAAAGGAACAAATTAGTTTGTTTAGAGCTGTACAAACTGAAGTAAGACAATAAAAACAGTGATAATAGTAATGATCAATAATGATTAATCAATGTTGCATTCTGAGTTTTTTGGTTCTTTTCTATTTGCAGAGTGAACAAGTGTATCCACTTATTTTTGATAAAGTTATTAAGAAAATTGAATCGATAAAACAGCAATCACCAGAAATGAAGGCAAGTAACTTGTATAAAATATACAAAATGCATCATTATAATGCTAGAGTTTATATTTCCTGTTATAAAGTTTACATGTGTAGTAGCTAGCCCATGGTTTTTGACCAAGTTTTGGAGCAACTTCAAAAATTCCATAAAAATTCAATTTTAATCAAAATCAGCCCAAAAACCTACACAATATACATGTAAGTACATATCAGAAAAAATTTAAAATGGAGAATTTTCTCATAGTCATTTTTGGCGAAATTTGGCCAAAATCCCTGTACTATAGTACAGGGACTTTGGCTTGATTTTCAAGCAACTTTAAAAATTTATAAAAAAATTAAATTTGATTGGAATCAGCTCAAACTTGCTACACAGCATAAGAACATGTATATGTATCAGGAAAAATTATAAAAATGAAAAATTCTCTCCTAGTCAATTTTGACGAAATTTGGCCAACTATATAGTACAGGGACTTTGGCTCGATTTTGGAGCAACTTTAAAAATTCATAAAAAATTCATATTTGGTTGGAATCAGCTCAAACTTGCTACACAACATAAGAACATGTATATGTATTAGGAAAAATCATAAAAATGAAAAATTCTCTCCTAGTAATTTTTGGCAAAATTTGTTCGAAATCCCTGTACTGTAGTACAGGGACTTTGGCTCGATTTTGGAGTAACTTTAAAAAGTTCAAATTTGATTGAAATTTTTTTGTAATACTTTTGTTAGTCACTCTGTTGAGCTACTCTTTTATAATAGGTCATGGAATTTAATGAATTTTGTCTCATGATACAGTCGAATGTCAACAAGCTCCTCTCTGATCAACAGATTACCTATATACTCAAGTGTATATCTGACACTGGAGTGGTAAGGAAGGAAAGAAAGAGACTACATGTGTCTGTGAGAGAGAGATAAATTATTTATTCTTTTATTCCTTAGATTACGTATATTGATCACGGCCCCCTTGGTAAGTGGGTCTTTCTCGACTCATCCTGGCTCTGTCATGATGTACTAGGCCACGCCCTAGCCCCGCCCACACATCCAAACGCTCCTCTAAGAGAATACAAGACTCATTTTCTCACCGAGGAACAGATAGTCGAAGCCTTTCCACATCTTTCCTTTAATCACTACTATCGGACGCTTTTTCTCGAGTTACTGTGTCACTTTGAAGTTTGTGCCAAGTCCAAGTCAACCCATCAGTATGTGTTCCCAGCCCTAGTCGGACCCGAAGCTGACCAATCAGATTGGACGAAAATGTCAAGCCCTGTTCCTTATGTTGGGCGTCGTCTGGTCGTCATGGATACCAATGAGTTCTTCCCATTGGGGTTTTTCCCTCGTCTACAGGTACACATAGTTTCCATGACGACCATGAAAGACAAGACTAGTCTCTACAAAGATCACTTAATCATTGATTCGTCTCAATATCAGATACTCATTAAGATCGCTATCGATGGATCTTCAATCGATCTGATTGGTCGTTTGAAAGAGGGGGTGGAGGCTCACTTAGGTGGTAACAGGTGCATCCAGTCAATAGATTACATTCAGGGTATCATTATAAAGCTGATGAGGCTCATAGTGCCTGCTGTGTTCCTTCAATGGCTCACTCTTAGCTCAAAAGATCTAGCGAACCATTCTCCTTCACCGCATTCGTTTCATTCTTCAGAGATAGCTGATGTACTGAAGGATGGTAGGAGTCTATGGAACGAAGGATCTCAAGTCCTTGAGAGTGTAGAGTCCTTACTGTTCTTCAATAGCAGCAGGGTGATGAGCTCCTTCACTGGTAGAGGATGCTACGTGACATTCATACAAGATGAGATATTATCTAAAATTGATAACCTCCTCAGCGAAGATGATGAACAACCTGTAAGTCCTCCCTCTCTCTCTCTCTCTCATTCTTTCCTTTCTAATCTACAATCTTACATTTCTTTCCACATCCTTGTAGGGTTGGACTGCACTAGCTAAACAGCTCAATCTCTCTGAGTACATTGACATACTCAGGAGTCAAGAGGAGCCCAGCAAGAAACTTATCCTCAAATGGGGAGAGAAGCCGCGATGGACAGTTGATAGTTTGTTCTATGCACTTCAAGAGATAGGAAGAGTTGATGCTTACAATTTAGTGAGGGCAAGAATTGATAAAAAATATTCAGCTAATCAAGTTACAAATTAATCAATTATTATTATTATTAATTGTATCATAGTTTGAATTGTCCCTTAAAAATATTAACTATCCTATAATAATAATTATTATTATAACAATAGACAATCAATAATAATTGTGAATTCAAACAAAAATTGTTACTTATTTTTTTATACTTAATTTTTATTGCTGGAGTCAGCCCACAAAGTGCAAGGGGTAGGAAACCCGTACTGATCAACTGGTTTCTCATTATAGAGCAGGTCCCCACAAAATAAAAGTCGCAATCGGTCCAGCGGTATAGAAAACTCTGCTGCTACCAATAATTTAAGAACCCTCAGAGAGCTCTGGCTTTCTACACAGAATTTTTTGACTCTGTGACCGCTTGCGTGAACATTGAAAACATGAATGTGTTGGGATGTTAGTGAGGTACATGTTAGTCTAGCTCCCTCGGGTAGGAGGTAGTCCCCTATGCAGTAGTGATCCTCTAGTATATGGCCGCCATGTCTTATGACTTGCTGCTCAGGCTGGACAGTGCGATCGTTTAGCAAACCCTTGAGATCCAGTATTGTTTGATGGCTCTGCATCCTCAGATTAACTGGAGATCCGTTTGAAAGTATGACCGTTATGGTACGTGTTGCTTGGACTTTGGTAAAAAGCATTATCTTGTATCTCTCGTCGTCCTCCTCTCCTTCCTTGCTGGCCAGTGCTTCATTTAAGTATAAGTAATCTTCCAAAATGACTCCTCTTTTAACTAAAACCTGCTCATTTGTAGGGACTAGGAGCCTGTCTTGTATGATGGCCTTGAGGTCAATGACTTTAGACTGAGAGAGATAAAGATCACAGGAGGACTTGATGCCAGTGACAGTACAAACAGTGAGACTTCTCTTCTTCTCTTCTCTCTTGTTATGCTTGTACACTTGAACGACAGGGTTCTTTGGAATCACGTATTGTGATAGAACCGACTGTGGGGTAAGTATGTCTGAGTTTAGGACCAGAGAGAGAGCCATACCGTCGTCGATTTTGAATAATCGTCTTATTTCATTCTCGAGGTATTCAACTCTGTCGTCAACTTTGATTCCATCAATCGGTATCAGTTCATCGTTAGACATGTCCACAGCTGATAGCTCTAATCCTTTCGGCACTTTAAAAGTAACGAGTAGCGTTGAGTCCTGCTGGAGCTTATACTCCTCGATAAAAGCCTCATCTCTTAGCTCCAACCCTCCAAGGACTAAATTCATGGGCCCTCGGGGGAAACCCTCCCTCTCTTGAAGGCGCCTCTTCAAATCCCTGACCCTCTCATTAGGGTACGTCAACAAAGTGACGATATCCCCTCTCAGGGTACGGAATAGGATCGGTATCGGAGGAGCCTGTTGCTGGTACTGTCTCGAAACAGGAGGAGGAGGGGGAGAGGTGTCTCTTGCATTGGGGTCCTTTATAATGTGCATGGTGCACTGGTTAGGGAGGTTACACTCGTACAGCATCGAGGACTCGTCGAGGAGGACTCCGTGAAACACAAGCCTCTGATTATTAATGTTTAGCTTGTGCTTAATTCTCAGCTCCTCTTTGATGTCGTTCACCGACTGATAAATAGAAGGAGAGAGCATGAACGTGTCTCCGGAGAGCGTCTTAACGTAAAGGTTCATCTTTGAAGAGTTGGTATAGGAGAGGTAAATATCAGACCCAGGGGTTAGCCTGTAAAAACTGAGAGGGTGAGAGTTTTGCATTTGAGTTTTGTTGTAAACGAGGACTTGATGATCAGGAGGGACCCTCTCTTTAGCTGAGACTGACCTCTTTAGCTCAAATACACTCATTCTCTCAATATCAACAGAGTCCAACCTCACCTCTCTTCCTGAGGGTGTTATCACAGTCAACCAAGAGGAGGAGGAGGAGGAGGAGGAGGAGCGTTGGACTTCATTGGACCAGTTTTGACGAGTCGATGAGGACTGTGAGTGTGGAGGTACTGGTGGTAGCTGTGTAGTGTGTGAGGGATGTCTGGCCGAAGAGGCAGACTGACCTGACTCGTTAGACGAGTTTAATTTAATGACCAGGTGGACGGTCGAATCTTTTTGTATGTTGTAAGAGTCGATCGAGCGATCGTTCTCTAGTGTTCGGCCAGAGAATATCAACTGCTGTTGTTCTACTGGTACTCCTTCCTTCTGTCTTATCCTCTCCTTGGCATCTCTTACAGTGGAGGTAGGATCAATCTGTACTGACACTACACGACCTAATAAGAGGATGACAAGGGGAACGGAGTATAAAAAATCACTTATTATATTTTTAATAATATGTTTTAGCATATAAAAGCCCACGCATACACTGTGTACACAAGAATATGATGGCTTAAGTTATTTTAAAAACATTTAAATATACTTTTTATATTGTATAAATATACCTGTTAATGTCTTAACGTATATCGTCATTATTTCACCTTTCAGACCAGTACTAGTAATTACTAAATGAATCGTGGCCCCATTGGTAACTTTATAATGTTGCAAAGACAGAGACGGGTTCTCTAATACCTGCCCTGCAGGGAGAAGGGGGTTGTTGTTGTTATCACTTGTTGTATTTTAATTCTTTACACACGAACCTGCAAAAGCCAATTTCTGCTGTTCTGGCGATATTTGTTCCTTCTCTTCTATTCTTTCTTTTAGCTCCCTGATGGTAGTCCTAGGGGATAGGTCCAACACTAAACAGCGGCCACTGATGGTCTTCACTAAAACTTGTAAAACAGCCGCCATTGTGAAAGAGGAGGAGATGATGTCGATATGATATGAATATGATTACTGCGTAGGCGGGCTCAAGGTGCTAATAATGCGTGGGTGAACTCAAAATAAAATTAGCTACTAAAAACAATTGCGTCATTGCTATTGTATCTATTATTAGTAACTTTATTAGCCTTGAGCAAAAATAACTATAATCAAGCACAAAGGTCAGCTACACGATAACAACATTGCATCAGTCAGGCTGCTCCTCCGCCCGTTTCTCTCTCAGTATAAAAGGCAAGGGAGACTCGCTGAAAGCCAGATTAGTCTAGACTATTATATTCTGCAACAAAAGAGAAAGAAAGCACTCATACCTCGAGAATTAAACTCAAATTAAAAGAGGAATCATAATCTCTAGTATTATAATAGACTTCGTTATAATAAAAGAGAGTACAAAAGTATGATTATTCTCGATAAGCACAGTATAATGATGTCATAAATCCTTTGTTTCTAGAGCAATGAGTGAAGGAGATCTGGAGAAAGCTCCACCTCCCAGTAAAGAGGAACAAATTGAACTTGATGAAGTAAAAATCAAAGATGACTCACCGCCAGTCGTTCAGACTGATGACACTGTTGACGTTGAGACTAAACCAAAAACCGTGAAAAGGTAAAAACAATGAATTTCAAGATGCAATGTTTTATTGATCGTGCTCTCTCTCTTAGGCCTTGGTGGAAGAAGAAGGAGAAAGAAGGTGATGATGAAGATGCAATTCCTCCTGCTACCCTCAAAGAAGTGGTATGTAAAACCACAGTTATGCTAATTACATCCACTTGTAATAATTACACTTACTCATTATTATCTCTTTGTGTGTTTCTCTATAGTTTAGTTTTGCTACTCCAATTGACTGCTTCTTCATGATCACTGCTATTTTGGCTGCTTTTACTCTCGGGTGTGCTCTCCCAGGTGCTATGCTTGTATTTGGTGACCTTGTGAACGCATTCATCAATCAGCAAGTATACATACACACACACACACACACATAGATACACACACACACATAGATACATGCACATGCATACATGTATGTACACTGTACACTACTTTACTAATGCATGATGTATGCATGTACATTGTCCAATCAGATTTAAGTACTAAAAAGTTCAATGTGTAGGTGATTATTTGGTATGAGACATTCATTAGTTAACAGGTCTGGGCAACCCATATTGCTTTCTCACACTATCCTTTATATTAATTCTTTTTCTCTTGCTCTATTTTCTCTGTTAGTTTACTCAATATGCAGTTGATACTGTTTCTGGGCTCAATGTCACTAGCTACATGCAAAACAACACTATAGTATATTCCTCCTCATCTCCTGGCTTCTCCTGTGAGGTATACAGCAATGCCATTGAAACCTATGCCACCATTGGTGATCCACTGACCTGTGTGCCATTTAGCAACTTTAGCACGTCTTTACCAACGTCTCCTTTAACTCTCAACATCAATCCGGTTCAATGCTCTGCCCTTGCTGCCATCGTCACCCTTTTCTTTGGCACTGAGAGCAGTTGTACAACTGATGACGAGTTCATTAACTCGATAAATATTTATTGCTACTATTTCATTGGGCTTGCTGTTGCTGCTATTCTGATTGGGTATTACATTGAAGCTGTTTTCCAAGTGACTGCCGAGCGACAGATTTATAAGATAAGACTTGCTTATTATAAATCTGTTATGAAGCAGGACATCGCCTGGTTTGATGTTAACGCTAGCGGAGAAGTAGCAAGCAGATTAGTAGAGTAAGTCAATCAATGAATAGAATGATGTAATTTAATTGTACTTCTCTCCCTAGTGATTTGGATAAAGTCCAAACTGGGATTGGTGAAAAGTGTGTCATATTATTTCAATGGATTGGCTCACTTATTTGTGGATTCACTATTGGTTTCGTGAGGGATTGGAGACTCACCTTAGCACTACTTTCAATCACACCATTTCTAGCTGTGGGTGGAGCCTTGATGGCAATAGTAAGGATTATATTATACATGCTTACTTATGCAGCAAATTTCACTTCTGTTTGAACACTGTGTGAGGCATAATTTAACTTTCTCTGCATAAATTATTAGACACACATGATCCTCGCGCTATATGCTATAGTCAAATTCATTGTACACATATTTGTTCCTGTTATTGTTGTTATTATTGATTTGTTTTATTAGGTTACAACAAGGTTCACTAGTGCTGAGCAGAAGGCCTATGCAACTGCTGGGGCTCTGGCAGAGGAAGTGTTGTCATCCATCAAGACCGTCATTGCTTTTGGAGGAGAATATAAAGAATCAGATAGGTTAGAGGAGGAAAAAAGGGAAGAGAAAGAGAAGAGAATTTACTTGTTGTTTTAGGTATACTTCACATCTTAAAAGTGCAAGGAGTGCTGGTATTAAGAAAGGACTGGGTTTAGGGCTTAGCCTGGGATACGTGTTCTTTCTGATATTTTCAGCTTATGCTATTGCTTTCTGGTAAGAAGAATATTATTTTTAAAACTATCCTTATTTTTATTTATTACTAGGTTTGGTGGTTATTTGATATCAGAAGGTCTAACACAAGGAGGACAAGTCCTTACCGTGAGTAACAATGAATGATCACACAATATTAATGACATTTGCACATACATGTACATGTATGCACATGCACTAGGCAGCAACATTTGTGGTCACTTTGATCTTGTAAGCATGTTGGCCTTAAAAATAAATGTGTATCAACCTAATTGTGTGCCAGTGAACTCATAATTCTTTTTTAGGTATTTTTCTGTGTCTTCATAGCAGCATTCTCTATTGGTCAAGCAGGACCCTACATGGAAGCATTGAGCACTGCTTTAGGAGCAGCAGGAGCTATCTTTGACGTCATCAAGAAAGTAAGTTACCATAGTTCACTCCTAGTTTATCATATTATATCCACAGGAACCTCCTATTGACTCCAGCAGCACTGAAGGCATTGTATTGGAGGAGAGTGAGCCTGCCACCATTCATTTGAAAGACGTCAATTTCAGTTATCCAACCAGACCTGATGTGCAGGTAATGCCATATCTATATTTAGAATAATCTTTACTGTGTCTATTTTAGGTTCTCAAATCCTTTAGTCTCAGTGTTGATGTTGGTCAGACTGTTGCTCTTGTTGGTCACAGTGGCTGTGGTAAGAGCACTATTGTACAACTACTCCAACGTTTTTATGACATTGAGGAAGGAGAGGTAATATTAATATACATGCTATACCTTAATATTTTTATTCTTTTTCTTTGTATCTCTTTTTTTCAGATAAAGATAGCATCACACTCAATCAAGGATCTCAATATTGCCAGTCTCCATGATGCTATTGGTGTAGTCAGTCAAGAGCCAGTTCTCTTTGACACAACAATACTTGACAATATTCGTTATGCCAAGGATGGGGCAACTCAAGAAGAGATTGAAGCAGCTGCTAAAACAGCAAACGTTCATCAGTTTATTTCTGAATTACCCGATGGTAAGTCTTTAATTTTAATAAAGCATCATTACAATTTTTTCTTTCTCTCAGGCTATAATACACTGGTAGGTGAAGGCGGTACTCAATTGAGTGGTGGTCAGAAGCAGCGTATAGCTATAGCCCGTGCTCTCATTCGTAATCCAAAGATACTCCTACTGGATGAAGCTACATCAGCTCTTGACAGTGAGAGTGAGTCACTGGTACAGAGTGCACTGGAGAAGGCAAGCTTGGAGAGGACTACTATTGTCATTGCTCATCGGTAAGATTGTAGACCTAATAGTATATTAATAACTAGACATTTGTTGATCTTAGTGGGTAAAGAAACTGCACTCTTTTTCTATAAATTACTGTACATTGTGTGTGCATGCATCCCACTTAATTTTTGCTTCTTTTCCTAATTTTCTGATTTCCTCTTTGTCCTCTTTTCCCTTTAACCTTTCTCTCTCTTTCTCCCTCTCTCCCTCTCTCTTTTAGTCTCTCTACTATACGCAATGCTGATCTGATAGTCTGCCTTGATAATGGAGAAATAAAGGAAACAGGGACTCATGACGAACTTATGAAACTCGAAGGACTCTATTATGACATGGTCACATCACAAGTAAGAATAGACATTAATATACTCAACTTTTCTGTAGCATAAGGGAGCGTATATTTATTTATTTTTTGTTATTTTGCAGACTCAAGGGGCCATTGATGATGCATACTTGTCAATAGAGCAGGAATCCTCTGCTGAGACTAAGGGACCAGCTGTACTTCCATTATCAAAGCAGTACAGCAAGCAAGTCAGTAGACAGTTCTCGCGTCAAGCCTCTACCTCTGAGGATAAGAAAGATAAGAAAACCAGGACTGAAATGTTGAAGAAAAAAGTAATGAAATATTGTGTGACTTTAATTTGACCTCTTTCTCTCTCTCTATCTCGTTTTCCTTTGTTTTCCTATTAATTCTAGCAAGAAGAATGGGATAAGGATTTGCCTGAGGTTTCTCTTGGACGTATAATGAAACTTAATGCTAAGGAATGGTGGCTCTTGGCTCTTGGTGTTCTTGGTGCTAGCGTACAAGGATCAATATTTCCTGTTTTTGCTATCATCTTTGGAGAAGCATTGAAAGTGAGAAAATGAAGAGTTATTAGAGTTATATTGACCCCATATCTTCCTTATTAGGCATTCAGTGCTGAACAGGATCAAGTACTTAATGAAGTTCACCTGCCAGCTGGCCTCTTCCTTGCACTTGCCTTTGTATCTGCACTTGCTGTCTTCTTTAAAGTAAGTGAAACAAATAGAGAGTTACTGTAGTTACTGAAAGAGAGGTGATAAGTAGAAATAAGAGTGGATTTAACTTTAAATTTTTTGCAGACATTTTGTTTTGCTATTTCCGGTGAGAAACTGACCTCTAGGATCCGCTCCATAACGTTCAAGGCAATGCTCAGAAAAGTGAGTTAATAATAATAATAATAATAATAATAATAATAATAATAATAATAATAATAATAATAATGATATTGAGAGCACTATGAACATTAATTAGGATATGTCCTGGTTTGATGAAGAGAAGAACAGCACTGGAGCACTTACCACTAGACTGGCTGAAGATGCAGCCCTCATACAAGGAGTGAGTGTCCTATACCTTATATTACTAGATAAGTGACTGTGGTTTCCCACATAAAGTGTACTAAGTGAGCTTAATAGCACACTTCATGAGCTGACAAACACTCCATTGTAATACAAATGTATTATAGTGCATGGTTTTTGTAACTTTAAAAATTCATAAAAAATCCAGTTTTGATCGGAATCAGCCCAAACAAAATATACAACATCAGAACATGTATATGTATCAGAAAAAATTATAAAAATGAAGAATTCTTGCCTAGCGATTTTTGACAAAATTTTGGCTCGAGACCATGTACTATAGCCCATGGTCTCAGGCCAGATTTTTGAGCAACTTTAAAATTGTGTAAAAAAATCTAAATTTGATCAGAATCAACTCAAACTTGCTACACAACATAAAAACATGTATACGCATCAGAAAAAATTATAAAAATTGAAAATTTTCTTCTAATCATTTTTTTGCAAAATTTGACCAAAATATAGTACAGGGACTTTGGCTCGATTTTGGAGCAACTTTAAAAATTCATTAAAAATCTAGATTTGGTCAGAATCAACTCAAACATGCTACAAAACATAAGAACTTGTATATGTATCAGGAAAAATTATAAAAATGAAAAATTCTCTCCTAGTCATTTTTGGTGAAATTTGTCAAAAATCTCTGTACTATAGTACAGGGACTTTGGCTCAATTTTGGAGCAACTTTAAAAATTCATTAAAAAATCAAATTTGTTTGGAATCAGCTCAAACTTGCTACACAACATAAGAACATGTATATCTATTAGAAAAAAATATGAAAATAGAAAATTCTCTCCTAGTCATTTTTGACAAAATATCACGCCTATTTTTACAATGGCAAAGCTCTACTGAGCAAGCTAAAAAGCACACCTCATGAGCTGGCAAGAACTGAGCACTACACCAAAATCTTGTGTGAAACCTTACTATTGGTATTGCTCATTATAATACATGTGCATGTATGTATCAGTACATGCTGCAGATACATTATTACTGGTATACTTTTAGGCTACTGGACTAAGACTTGCTACACTAATTGAGACACTCATCAGTTTACTGTTTGCCCTGGGGATAGCTCTGGCCTACTCCTGGATAATGACAATCATCATATTGGGTTTTGCTCCTTTCCTAGTCATTGTTGGTGCAGCAAGAGCAGTGTTCTACAGACAACATTTGTTAAAAAATAAAGGAGCATTTGCACATGCTGGACAGGTAAGAGGGTGTGTAAATGGAGGAGGGAGAGAATAAAGGAGAAAGAGAAATGTTTTATTTTTGTTTTTTTGATAGTTGGTTGTAGATTCGCTGGAAAACATACGAACAGTGACTGCTCTCAATTTGCAGAACAAATTTGCCGAACTTTATGAAATGGAAATCAGAAAACCCTACAAGTAATGATAATAGTAACACAATGTTATAGTATTAGTAATTTAATAATTGAAAACAAAGGAATCTATTATGATCTTTCTCCTGATCTCTCCCCTAGAACATCAATGTTATTCCATCACATTGAAGGCGTGGCTTACGGAATGTCCCAAGGAATGATCTTCTTTGGTTATGCTCTTGCCTTCAGATTTG